ATAGTCGCGGGAATTATTTATGAGGTCTCAATGCCAAGCCAGGTCATTTCATTTACTTATTATTGTGGACTCCTTAAGCATGTTTATTGCTTATTCCACTTATTAGATACTACTTAAACGTGTTACTTAATGTAAACAGACGACATGATGTTAAATTTATAAGGCGTTGACAAAAGAACTATTAGAATAAGAAGGAAATGATTATTATTGATCTACGTATCGTTGTTACGCTGACTCATATCAACAGCAAAACAATTGCTCATTGTAAGTTATTTGAAATTGACATTGACGTTGATTTGAATGTATAATAATTATACAAGCTGTACGTCTTTTGCTCGAGGGCCATAAATCTTCTCCCACAACTGCCCCAATTTACCATACGTCTGTAACTTTTTTGAAGTTCTCTTACTGTAGTAGGGCCACGCAGCACCTTCTGTTGTTTCTTGAATAGGGTATCTTTGTCCGAAGTATCACGGTCTCACAGAAGATCGGCGTAAATGTCATGTATTATACTTTCGCATGTCGGTTTATGAGAGAGGAAACTGGGACCCACATTTAAAGATTGATAACGCGTCTGTAATCCGTCATGTGATATAGATGTCCATGGGCGATGTTAATCACTTAACATTAGGTGAACCGCCTGCGTGCCAACTTTTCAAGTAAAAATGTATTCTTCATTAATGTTTTGATCCCTCCCTATGAATCTTCTTAACTGTCATTACGGGCTTATGATTAAAATCTTAGAACACACATATTATAACTCGTACAAATACTTATCCCGATTGGGAATGGAACTATCGACCTTATCCCAAGTACAATCCAACTAAGTAATCAACTTTACGTTAGATCAAGTCTATATTATAAAGGACTAGTGTTAACACCGCTATTATGTACATTGTTTAAAAATGTTAATATTTATTAAATTTTACAAACCAGCAGTAAGCTAATGAAACTACATTTTCAAAATGTCACAATTCAGCTATGTAAATAAGCATTCGACATTCTGAGATAATGTATACATGAGTTAATAAAAGTCAATGAATGTTAATTTAAGCCCGAGTAACTTCTCATCCACGTTAACAAGATTAGTAATTCTCTAATTAATTAAAAAAGTATACGCAACAGTCTCTCCATTACATTATCTTTTTACGGCCTGTATAGGAACTAAGAAACGTTTTCGTATCACCACGCAAATTAACAGTTAAACATAAAATACCTATTTTAAACGCTATGATTTCATAAGACCCGTCGCAAGAAAACTTCACTTCCTGGACCGTACTTTGTAGAAACATTCATTAAAAGTGAATTTATACTATAATAAATAAAGTATGGCTATAATATAAAGAACATATAATATATAAAGTGATACGGTATAAAATATAATATACTAGCTACCTGCCCCGGCTTTACGCGGGTGCAGTGTATTATACATATAAACCTTCCACTTGCATCACTCTATCTAGTAAAAATAACGAAACATTAGTCACTATCAATAGGCCTCAATATTAAACAGCTTTGAATACGATAGTTACAATGGTTGAGGAGTTGATCTCTTGAATAGATCTCTTTGAAACTAAATAACTGGTTCATGAAAACAGGAGGTAAATTTTGCATTTTCACGTGCATACAATTACAAATTATCTCTCATTTACGCTTGATGTCCCAAGATCACCTTTTAAACGGAGGAAACAATCACTTTTTAAAGGGACAGCTTAGACATAACAACATTGAAATCGGATTGCTTTAAAAACCTGTACACGATGTTAGTTTTCATCACCTTAGCAAAACACTACACTATGGAAATGTTTAGTGTGGCAAGTACCTTAAAGGTCGCGTGCCTACCGCAACTAAATCAGGTGGATTCATAGGAACCTATCTGAGATGTGGATCCTCTGATAAACCACTATATCTCTAAGTCTACTTACTTTACATCATTGGCAGTTTCATTTAATCTTTTTTACGTTTCTTCTATGTATACATGTCATAAGCGATGCATTTTAACAAATTATCTCAGTTACTTGACTATGAGAATGAGATGATTGTATTTCTTAGTTTATATGAGTTCGTTTCTTCTTAATCCTAATACAAATTAGATGCGTTTATAAATAAAAGGAAATTACCAGTGCCACCTATAATGCCTGATTAGCAATCTCGTAAACGCATTAACAGTGAAACCCATACAAAATGGAATAACAGTAATTGAAAAAGACATTAAAAGTTTTGACAAAGAAATTTCATTTTGAGTTCATTTCTCTTAATAAAGAAAAATAAACGTTCCTCACAGGTGACTATTGACGTATCAAAACACTAACTAAATGTTCAAGAGAGAGACAAAGGTTATAGCCAGGTTTGTAAATCTAATGCTGAACGAGATTCTTGAACGTACAATTTCAAAAAATGGAATGCCTAATAATCCACATCATTTGGTTATCCCGCGATATTGGCGCGGGCAAAAATCTCAAAGTTATGATAAAAAAACTAATTATCGTTTTATAGCATTTTAGAAACATTTAATTCATTCATATGTTTCAAATACCAGACAAAGTCACTTGTGATACTTATGTCCCAGTAAAACACTCACCAATAAAGAGGTATTACGTCTAAAACTTACCACATATAAATCATAACTAACTAATAAAGAACATGGCGGTAGTCATAACATTAGTGTGACAATTTTAAACAAAATGCTCGTTTACACGTGAATATAGAAATTACATTAAAAACCGTGTCTCAATGCTCGTTTCCTTATAGTGATTCAATATAACAATGGAAAGACATGCCTTGAAAAGAAAAACCGTGAGTAATAATTTATTTATACCCGAATATCGTGATATGATTAAGGTACAGAAGTTTACTATTGCGTTTTTTATTTGCTATATATTTTTAGTAAAAAGTTTTTCAAGAATGCTTATCTTAGTCCTTAAATAAAGAAGACAGACAATTTATTTAATTAAAGTCTTATTAATGGATGTGTTTATTAGTTATTACATAAAAGTTTTTCCTGTTTTGTAATGAAATAAACAGTATTTGCTTAATACTATAAGCGCACACACGTTTTTCCTTTACAATTTTTTTAATCGATAGAGAATTTTTTTCGATACAATGATAATTGAGTGAGTAATAGGTGGAGACACTTGGATTTTGAGAAAAAAAATTAAATTTTGCAATTTAATATTAAGTACCTAAATCCGCCATTTTGTTTACATTAATTCATAAAATCAGTTCCTAAGTAAGTTAAAGGAACAGATAGTGAAACATATGTTTTTCTCTTATAAGTATTTTTAAACGTACTTCTATATAACTTTCTATATAAATGAGATTCGATTACGTAGCTGTATAAGATGTAAAGAGTAAAAATCTACGATATTGCCTACTTATCATAAAAATAAATGTTAAAACTTAAACACTTTATTACAAAAAAACCGCTATGATACTTACCGTTTTTAATATGTTGGAAGATAATTAGTGAGATACAGGATACTTCTATAACATATCACAAACACATTTCTATTTTTATTTTCTACACTTGAACATTGTGCAATATTAAAAATTAATATTAGCGCGCCAAAACAAAAAAACATCATAAACAACCGCGTCATTTCACAGATAATAATCAATATGGATTTTGAATCCATTTAGAAATAGATTATTAAAATTTTCACCCTTTTTTAAATTTGGAAGTAATATCTATTATTTTAAGTTTAATTGTAATTAAATGCGACAAATTTGGTTAAAAAAAATGACTTAACTAATTCAACATTTGTTAAAAAATCACATTTTGTTAAAAAGATCGCAGGTTGTGCTATTAAAGTTTGTCGGTATAAAATTAGACAAGTTTGGATCAAAATTAAATTATCTCGAACAGACTTTTTGTTTCGGTTCGTGGTTGCACATTTTTAAATATGAAGAAACCTTGTCTGACCTAGGTTATTATGGATTAAGTTAGGTCCAAAGTGAGTCACAGGTCCGATACAGAGCTCCCCGATTCCATGTTGTCTTGTGGTCGTTTCTCCTAGGGTGAATATAAAAATGGCGAGCCAGAAGCTCGCGTCGGAGAATCTGAGTGCCGGAGCGGAGCGAAGTTCGAATAGGTGAAGCGACACCTATGTCAGACAACACTCCTTGATATGTAAAAATGTAAAAAATTAAAAAAAAATGCTACCACGTACCTGAGGTAAATTAATGTTGAACCTAATTTATTTATTATAATAAACTTTAAAACACACATTTTTAGAAATTTAAATAGCTTTTAAAAATCTTGTACTCTATTTTATAATCGTTATTAAAAATACCTATTAGAAGAATTTCATTGTTGATGAACTGTTTTTGTTTGCGTTAATAATTATTAGAATATAAGAATGAATATATATGAATTGATAAATATGAACTAATTAAAGAATTTATCAATAATTTGTATATGTCAAGTGTTCATGATATATGATTTTTAAGTATCCTGTATCACTTTATTCTTCAACAAAGTAAAATCCTGAGTTCCCTCTTCAAATTACTGACAATAACGAAATTTTGTACACAATGTAACCTTTAAATCAATGAACCGTGGTTCCCTTGCTCCCCGGACGAAATGCAAAGGTATAATACTTCCACTTCACGACGGTATATGTGAGGTTCTGGTACTTCCGCGAACAGCCTGCCTATTTGCGTACCAGTAAAAGCTATTTAAGCCCTACGACATTCATAATCGCTACATAGTATAAAACAAAGTCGCCCCCTGTCTGTCTGTCCATAAGTATGCTTAGATCTTTAAAACTACGCAACATAATTATAACATAATAATAATAATATATATGAACATATATATTGTTTATAAAATAAACCGTCTGTCTGATAGTCCATATATGTATATAACACTCCATATATGTATACTGTCTAAGCGATTATTTAAACAAAAGTAGATGTCATAAAAAAAGCCTCCGCCTACGCATCTCATGCACGCATCCACAACAAAGCTATTGTAACCGCTAACGATTTAATCCGCTCCTATGTTGCCTGATCATCAATTCCTCGTTAACATCTCGCGCTCGCCGTCACGGGGTCGGTGATTACGTTAAAACTTAAATTGACGGTTGATATGGCTAGAGATCGTTAATAATTGAAATCTCTAGTAGACGTTAGTCGATAATGTTAGTTTTCAAATTAATTGTTAGTTTTGGTTTTGTTTAGATGTACGGGTTAGAATGATTGATTGTTAAGAGTGATACCCTAAAGGAGTACCAGTAAAGGAGTACCTAATTACAGATTAATGTACTCTGTTCCTTGTATTCACAATGAAACAGAGCAGATAAAGATAGCGCTTGTAATCATTTGGGTCTTTTACAATGACCTTTTTGATTTAAAAGCAACGGGTAAAAATACTAACAGCCTGTGTATGTCCACGGCTTCCCAAAGGCCTCCACTTTCTACGTTTAACTAATTGAATTGATTATTCTGATAGTTCTGATCAACTTTTACTTGTTTAACCATCCTTTTGGCAAATCAAATGACATTTGTGAAGCCATTTGACAGCTGATTAGTTAATTTCTACAATGATCAGTGTTTCAAAAAGAAGTACAACTTCAAAAATAACTTTGAATTCAGTAAAATTTTCACATGCTAGCCACTAAGCCTGTAATGACAGTCAATGTTACACAATGCATTTATAGGAAGAAATTCGTTATGAACACATTTATTTTATTCACACTTCGAAAATGTTAAAATTATAATTTATATAATCCAATGCCACGGGAATGGAAAACAAAAGGGCAACATCAAACATCCAACGCATTAGTCTACTAACATCGACGCCTATGAGATGTCTACAGACAAAATTAGAACTTATCCCTTTGGAGTTAAAGACGAAAGTTTTTCTTTACAGTGAAACTGTTGAAGATACAAAACAATACATTGTAACTGTGATAGACATGCTACCATTACGAGTTTTAAATTAAGTTCCTTTCTGTCCAGAGTTCGATCGATGTCTTAATCCTATACTACAATTAGTATTTTATTCCGGTGAATGGGTCATTAAACACTTTTATTATTTTTATAACCGAATTAGTAACGCTAGATACAAAGAATTAATAAGAGTAGTTAAACGACATACTCTAGTTACACAAGACATACAATTTTTTTTTTGTACACGCCGTCCATGGAAACTTGCAACACCCGCAGGGTTGCAGATGCGTTACCACCTTTTAATAAAGTGGGCCCCGGCTACCTCACTCACCGGACGAAACGCAGAAGTATAACGCTTCCACTTGTACTGCACTGGTAATTACCCGGACCCTGCCCATTCGTGCAACAGGAATCATTAATGCGCACCCCTACCACATTAACACCATTGTGTTAATGTGGTAGGGGGGGGGTAGTAAGTCATTACTTACGATGATTAAACTGTTTTTCTTTTAAATTCATCAGCGTCTCCTCTTTACTATTCATTATTTTATTTGGAGAATTAGGGCTTTGATGTGCGGTGGCTAGCGAGCTGGCGGTTCACCTCATGTTAAGTGGTAACCATTCCTATAGACATCTACAACACACCTAAGAGATCCGTTGCCAACATTCAATGAGATTGGGCCCGGGTTACCTCACTCACTAGACGAAATGCGAAAGTATAACACTTCAGGCCCATCTTCTGTGAGGTCGTGGTTCTTCTCCGGCTATTTCGCCTGCATTGGCTTGTATTAATGTAACTCGATATCGTCAATTGTAATATTTATTGTTAAATATAAAAACTATTCGCTTTTTATTTTAATTTTAATTCGTTTAGAACACTGCACAGTACCCAGACTATTCGAGGAACTATAAATATAGATTACGATATAATCCATAAATTCGTTTTATTTAAAACTTTCTTAAGCGTAATAATCCCGTAAACAAAATAAATTGTCATACAGTACTTATATTAAGAAAATTAAGATAATATCATACCAAAAAGTCGACTAAGACCCAGTAGCGAAATGACGTTTCACGACATAAAATAATTTAAATATAAATACTTACTTGCACACTGTTATTTTCAAAAGGTGTCAATATTTTACCTAGAACGTTAAGTTAATAATTCAAAAAGTATGTGTGTATTTATGTATTTATATAAGAAGTTATACTTCTTTAGCGTGAAAACAAAAAATGCAATTGATAACGATTAATTTAGATAACTTGGGATTATTGGTAATGGCATGGTAGTTCTAATTTTTTCCCAAGATAAAATTGTTATTGTTACCGAGCATCATATCGTTTTTGAGGGTCGGTGTGTCGCGCGCATCATAAAAATTTTACACTCACAATCCATTATAAAATTATATCCGTTTGTTTAATAATGCAACTCCACCGGGAGTATTGTTATAATTTGTGAATTATATACTTTCAGTCCAACACTCAACGACAAAGGACGGACCGGTTCGTGGCGCCTCGCGAGTACTTAGACGAAATGCGCAGGCGCAAATCGTGGCCTCCCAGTTGCAACCACGTCGATATTTGGGTACAACACCTAGCCATGGTCCAATACCCAACATATATAAAAATAAGACTAACCAACTAGCTAAGTAGAAACTATTGTTATGATCTGAAATATAATTAATAAAGTAAGGTAGCCATAGTAAATAAGTAAAATAGATGCAGGCAGATTATTTGATTATACAGGGTGGCTTTACTAAAGGTGCCCAAATTTAAACACGAGGTTCAGACTCGGTAGTATAATTGTTTATTGAAATAACATAAACTTTTTTTTTCAAAAAATATGCCATTCTATTCCCTAAAACACAGAACTTGTTCACAATGCGGTAGTCATTCATAAATGCGTCGTATACTTTTGAAAATACATATGTTGATACTTTTGTTGCCAATAAATCACGCACATTTTGAGATAAGTTCAAATGAATGTAATTTATTAATTACGAGTGATTTTAAATATTTATCATTTCTTATATAACGTTATTTATGTCTAGAATTTAATTAAAAAACATGGATACACTAAAAAAAAACCTCCCTGTATAACGACATGGTTTAAATGACAAACTCAACCAGTAACGTACAATAATTACTATTAAGTCGTATGGAGTAAGTACTGTTCAGCACTCGTCCCTCAAGTAACACCCTAACTAGTACGTAAAATAATTTCGTACCAATTCATACTCGACCTTTAAGAGTCGATGTACTTGAGAGTCACTGGCCTTTTATTTCAGGATCAAACTAAGATCCGACCTCGATACACTACCTAAGCAATTGTTGATTGCAATTTTCAATGCTTAAAGGAGAGCCTAGAATAATGAGCTATTTTTAGTACTTTCAAAATATGTGATGTTTAGCATTCCGCTGCGATCGTAGGTGCTCAGAGGAGCCTTTCCACAGCTTTGATGCATGTTATGTATACTATAAACTTGCTTATTTGACCAGATAACTATGCGTTCCAGTATTCGAAATATCTGCAACAAAAGAAGTACGCGGTGTTTTTGGACGAAGCGTTCGGCTTGGAGACCATGCCGGTTCCAAGCACCAAAACCCAGCAGCACGCGCACTTGTGCCCCTCTCGGAGGCCGGAGGAAGCCTACCTGAAACCCTGGCCCTGTGTGCCTCGCGACAGGAAGTACTTGTCGTCGGCCGACAGCATACTGGATCTGCCTAGCTACAGCCATGCTGCATGTGAAAAATTTACACGTTAATTCGTTGCTTTAAGTTTTTTACTTTACCACTTTTACTACTGTTCAGTAGTCACCTGCGGTCCGTAGACTATAAAAGCTTCATTGAACGCAGAAGTTGTGGGTTATCCCCAAGAGCCTCATAGGTGTCTAAAAGGCCGTGTTGTCTAAAGCCGAATCGTTAATTTTATTAGTTCTTTTTTTTTTCAAGTTTAGTTCGTTAAATTAAAGTTGTCAAGTCTTAAATCAAATTCATGTTAGTTTGAATCATCAAATTCATGTTAAGTTGAATCCTTATCGATTTATGGCTGGTTTATCTATCTGTAGATTTGGTCACTGGAGATAGAGTTATAAAGTTAGTATTATGAAGCTAATGTCAAATACCTATCGCTGCTAACTAAATCTACAGATAGATCAACAACGTTGCAGATAATATCTTTTATTGCAGATTTTAGAGTGTTTTGTGATTTCAATTGCCCCCAGGCTCCGGTTTTCTGGCTTACCAAAATGAAATTCAAAATCATGTATATTTACATTGTTCACGCCGATACTCTGGGAGGCTGTGGTATTTCTCTGTTTTATCTGTGTCACAAATTTAACTTATATTATTTTCCACTCCCTGCCATTTAATTTTGACACTCATAGTCTATAGTAACTTTAGTGCCAGGGTATGTGCCTTGATCCCCACTCAAAGCACACAATTCACTGTTGCTGGACAGTTTCCACTTTGTAAATTTTAATGGACTTTGTATCAGACAATGGCTTTTTATAACTCGAGCCCTTTCGTGGGGCCCCGCAAAGGTCAGCACGTTTACAACGACAAGAAGCATTTACACTCCTTTAAATACTCACATAGATGTCTGCGTGGACAGTGTGCCGATGTCACAGACTAATTGGAATCGATATCGGTACACTGACAAATATCCTTACACTCGATAACGTGTGTTAAGAGAACATCGGACAAACAAACAACATAGCGTATTGACATTAAGAAGTTGGAGATTAGGGAAGGTCCGCGACTAATGTTAGCACTTAGTGCGTAATGAACTAACGATACATAAACAGTCGGCACCTGGTATTTATATCGGGTACGCGTCGTTTTTTGTTTAAACATGCTTACATGTTGCAACATCATCATCTACAAATTAGACAAGCAAAACTATTTTAGTAACAAAAAACAAAACCAACTTCAAATATATAACTCACTATACATTTACTTTTTGAGGTTGAAGAGTTCCATGACGTATCTTGGAATTGCCAGGTTCGATAACTACGATTTATATCTTTGGAATACGTTGGATAAATCGAATCCAGTGCAAAAATAATGTCTAAAATCTGTTCATAAACGAGTTCTGAGCAAACAAACATAAAAAAACGCACAAATGAATCGAGAATCTGCTCCGTAATAGTGTTTCCAGCCTGGGTGTATTTTTTCGTGATTTCATATTAACTTTTTCAGAAAGGTAAATTTACCTTTACAAACGAAGTACAAAACCTCGATATGCTTACTTATATTTTATTATTACAATGAGTGATAGTTAATTGACTCAAAAAATTTACATTGATTTTGTGAAAAATAGATCTCTTTTTATGTGAAAAGTTGCCAAGCAAGCAAACGGTTCACCTGAAGTTAAGTGAATGCCGCCGCCTATGGACATCTGCTACACCCGAGGGTTCCAGATGCGTTGACAACCTTTTGAAAATTGGGCCCCAGCCACCTCACTCACTGTAACTCACTCAAAATATTATACTTCAACTTTAAGTCGGTCTTCTGAGAGGTCGTGGTACATACCCAGAGGAGCTTACACATTCGTGCAACAGCCGAGGCTGCTGCGTGGCGCTACCATCGTGAATCATACGACCACCACGTATTTTGGGTTTTTTAATATAAATATCATGTGCCAGGTCGATCAAATTTCGAGTCGATCAGATTTATGGCTGCAAATTATTTAATATTTTTTATTTAATAATTCTTGTATTAACAGTAAACGGTGGCCAATATAACCTTTTTTAAATATGTCATACGTTTGTTACAGTTTTCTAATAAAATAAAAACAAATATATTTAATAAGAAGCCTGAAATTCAACGCAGTATTTTAAAAGTTCCAGAACTTCTGGATTGGAGTAACGATAACATTCTGGTGGCGGCCCTGGGCCGTAGATACCACAAATGGAGCTGGCGAACGCAAGGTCTCATCAACCAAGGCGTCACGAAACACGAAATACAATGCTGCAAGTTCCATCCCAGGGGAGGAATGTTGGCTGTAAGCAAAACAACAGAATAATGGTCACTACATAAATTAAGACATATCAAAAGCTAATTATTGTGGAGTGTCGATTACGTGCTCGAATTCATATTAAAATGTTACTTGAAGGTTAACTGAAATACCATTGACGTCAAAAGCCTCGCTTCACCCTGGAACCGTGAATTCACTCTAAGAGAATTATAAAATCTATGAAACATGTGGTTCTTTTCGTTTGAAAATTTAACGTTAAAAGAGAATTTTGTAGAAATTTGTTCCGACGCGGCCAGGATTTGATCAGTTTTCTTGTCAGCTTATTCAAACGTCTGGGCGCGTTTCACAGAAGAAGCACGTTCGCATACGAATTGTCAAACGATTTATCTATTGAACTCAGATTTAAATCTCATCTCGATTGCAGACTTTCTTTTAAAATTATCATAACGTTTGTAGCTAAACGATTTTAATTCGGTTGGAAAATGAAATGTTAATTTGTTCTCAGCTAGGGACAGAGGAGAGGACGGTGGAAATTCATGACAACGCGCTGAACAAGTCCATCGGCAGCAGCGGCTGCGAATGCTCTAAAGGTGGCGTGCTCGCTTGCTCTGTGACGGCTGTGGAGTGGAGCCCTACCGGCAACTCGTATATCATGTTAGTATATTATCTGAAGCAGCATCAACGGAAGTGTATCATAAAAAACAAAAAAATATATATAAAATAAAAATAAAATTAGGGATAGACCACCCTTAACATTTAGGGGGATGAAAAATAGAGGTTGTCTGATTCTCCACCCTGGCCGCACGCAAAATTTCACGAAAATCGGTCGAGCAGTTTCGGAGGAGTTCAATTACAAACACCGTGACACGAGAATTTTGTATATTAGATTAAAAATATTTTCCTTATCAACTAAGCAAGTGGCATATTTCTTTAGCAAGTGACAGTTCGTGTAAAAACAACCAGTATTTTGATTTAAACTTAAATTGGTACTCTGGATGGGAAATAAAACAACTCTCTTTGACATTTTGAATAAAACATGTTGTAGTATAGAATGGTCGAGTAGTTTACAGCACACGCCTATTATATTTGTATCCAAGAAAATTTTACAATCTGTACAAAATTTTATTTTCAAAATGGATGCTAAATTCGTTTTCTAGCGGCTGCTCCCGCGGTATGATGACCTCTTTCACCAGCGACAGCAAGCCTATATGCTGGAGGAGAATCGCCTCTGACTCTATATTGCTCCTGAGAATATCGCCTGACGCCCGCTACGTGGCCGTGGCGGCTGTTAACGCGGACGACGTGCATCTGCTAAGCTGGCCGTGGCTCGACCCTTACTCCGTTTTGAACTCTAACAATTGGACCATTAAGGTGATTTTTCAGTACTCTGACAAAAGAACATTTATGGTGACCCACTTCGGTAAATTTTGCGCTTTTGTTGTCACGCAATTTAATTCCAACACTAAATAGTTCTCCTCTTAAATGATTGATCCTATGGAAAAAATGGTGGATATCATTTCTATTCTCCCCGAAATTTAAATGTGTGCGCATATTTGTTTTTTTTTAATATGTGCGTATATTTGAACCGCCGCCCATGGATATTTACAACAACAGGGGGCTTGAGAGATGCGTTGAAAAAATTAAAAAAAACTGGTCACCGGCCACCTCGCTCACTAGACGAAACGGGAAAGTATCTTCCTTCACTTCACGCCGGTCTTCTGTGTGGCCGCGGTGTGATTATTTATTATTAACAAATTATTAATTACAAGTTATACGTGAATCAGCATTTTGTGTGAAAGGTAAGTCTTAACGACCATTGAGACCTAGCAGATCTATTGTAATTTGCCCTTCGAAAACATGATACTGTAGGATACTGCCCCGTTACTGTAGGATAACATTGACTGGTGCTGAAAGGACATTCATAAATTTCGTAGGCAAACTATAAATGAAACTAAAGTGATCACATAATATATATAACGCAGCACATGGGAAACTGTTTCACCTGATCGTGTGTGTGTACGGTGTTCTTTTTCTCTTTAGGATAACATCCAAAATGTGTGTAAAAAGTCCATACATAACATCCTGTGTTGTATGGACTTTTTACACACATGAATTTAACGCGAAATAACACCAAGATCCGAAACAATTATTTGTGGGTCACACAAACAGTTGTCCCGTGTGGGAATCGAGCCCACGAACCCCGGCGCCGAAGCCAAAAAGCACCACGGAGTAATCAATCAATGGAATCGGCATTCTTTGCTCGACTTTTTTTACCGCCTCCTTTGTTCAGACTTTAACCTGGCACCCCTGGCGGAGCGCCTTGCTGGCCGTGGGCGCCGTGACAACGAACATCTACGCGCGCGTCGCCTTGTGGGACGCGCCTGCCGCCAGGCTGCGGGAGTACACCCTCAGCCACAAGCACTACTACCTCGACGCGATGCTGTTCAGCCACAGGACCGGCGAAATGGTCGTCAGCTTATGGAACCCTGGTATTTGCACTAATTATAATATTATAATATAATATTTTTGGGGACATATTTTCACACGACGTTAAGCAAACCTTGTACTATGGATGCAAGGTAACTGATATGTTTACCAAGTCTTACTTCTAATTCTAAAATACCGTAACATATTCCTCTTTTGTAATTAAATATATGTTATAGAAAACAGCCAGGCATTATAAAAACACTATGTTTAACACTCAATATTTTTCCAATAGTGGGGATCGAACCCACCTGGCGCAACAGACAATGTCACTATCCACTACGCAAATTGGGTCGCCAAGCATTAAAACTGTTGCCCGTTCCGTCAGTGCCTGGGCAACAGAATTTCCTAGCGAATAAATTTTAACAATAAAAAACGACTTCAATCAGAAAATTAAAAACATTGTTAATACCTATAACATTCAATTATGGCACTCGATTTCTCTAGGATGCCATCATCAGATCCGGGTTTCCTTATCATGGTACCACCCTGGGGATACCTCCTTTCCAACAAAAAAAGAATCATCATAATCGGTTCATAAACGACGAATTTATCCACGAACACATAAATAAGAATATATACAGTCGAATTGAGAAATCGTTTTTTGAAGTCGGTTAAAAATGGCGCGAAGTAGAAAGTTTATTATAAAGATTGTGGTGAGTGAAGTAGCCGGGGCACAATTTTTTTAACAACTGGCAACACATCTTTAACTTATTGTTGTTGATATACATGGGCGGCGGTAATTACTTAACTTCAGCTCGATTGCCTACGTTTCTGTCTCTTTGAGATCCTAAAATACATTTAAATGTGCAAGTGTGTGTGTTCATTTTATCTTCAAAAACAGCGAACAGCGCAACAGCAAGCGACAACATTTTATATTGGTTCTACCAAAGAGACAAATCTGAGGAATTTTTTGAACGAATTTCTGTTCCTGACTGAAACAATAAACTTATTTATATAACATAATTTTAATAACGGCATCTACAATATTACTTTTTCATTAAAGATCTTATGATGACGTCAAACGATCAAATTTTTCGATATATTCTTGTTTTACATTAAAGTACAGCAACAAGAGCTGACACCGTGCTATTACAAATAAATACAATTCAAAAGGTGCAGCTGTAGGTGTGAACGTAGGCGACAGTGCTACACATGAAGATGTGGCCGTAATATTAATTGCTGTTGACGTTTAAATGTACATAGATAGCGTGTTTGTTCGCAGTACGCGGATCGACTTCGATCGACATTATTGCTGATAGACGGCACGAACTGCCTGATATATCACCCGACCGACAAACATTTATCTCAACGCTAAGGACTCTTTACAATTCCCATTTGCATTATTAAGTATTAACTTATCGAATGCACACACAAGCGAAATCAATCCATCTTAACAACCCATTCGATTTTAGTCATGTTGCAATTATGTTTAAAAACACTTTTCATTGCCATAATTTTATTTTTTTATTATCTTTGAAGGTTTAGCCTCGCAAGATATTTGAAGGAAAGCATTTTTAATGTGAATGAAAATTTAATGGTCCATTCGAAACATAGACTTGCTTCTTACTTCTAAGAAATAACAAAATGTAAAAAATCACTGAAATCTAGAACACCGTCTCTATGAATTAACTTCACACGCACATATTTAATTCTAGTTAATGATAATTTATGTCTATGCGAACGACAGATTGAAATCTTATTGACTTACAGCAACGAGTCTCTTTTATAATATTCATTACCAACTGTCTGCAAAAAATTATCAGCGGCAATAAACACCTTACTCTTCGGTGTTTTGTTTAACGGTACCGTAGGAGTTTTTAATGAAGATTGATTTACCTAATGAAACTGTTTACCGATTTATCACGTTTATTATTTGGTTTTAATTCCCGACGTTTCGAACCCTTTACAGCGTTCATGGTCACGGGACAGACTGTGACCATGAACCATAATGAACGTAATATCAATTATCAAGATTGATTTGATTGCTTTGCACTTATTTTAATTAATACATTGAATTATTTTAAATATATTTACATATAAATGGATCTCATATGATATACTTAACTATCATTAATTTGTTTATAAGTATTATAATTGATTGATGTATAGATGGATATGATGCAAATGAAGTTGTACCAATTCTTTCAGATCCAGGAATCAGTTCGCAACTTGTGGTAATGAGCGATCCTGACACAGCAGTAGACCAATGGGGAGAAGGTCGCAGCTATCTAGATCGGGTCAGACATATGGTCTTCAGCCCTGACGGGACAAAGCTTGGTATCATTAAAATTAAACTCGTAAAATAATAGAAACAAAACATTAATATGTATAGATACTTTGCTTATAACTGCAAGAAACTTTGCTTACATCACACTTATTTAAATCCAAAAGTAATTTTCATACATCATGGCTTCTTAAATCAAAAACCTCATTTGCCCTCCACTATTGAGAAATAAAATGTATGGCGTGACTGACAGCAATTCAAAAAAGTTGCTCAACAAGACGAGATTCTAGAATTAACTAGATTCACTTCAATAACCACTTGCAATGTTCAGTCTTTATTAAGGCTTACAGCATTAACTTCAAGTTGCACAAATTAAACTTCCAGGTGTAGATTATTAATAAGTTTGTGAAGCAAACTAATTTTAGTTTTGGTACGTTGCTATCGATAGTAAGGGCATGATTTATGCTTTTTCTTTCTAAAATTAAATTATTTGACACAAACCTTTTTTTTAATAACTTTTTTATATCTACCCAAATTAAATTTTTGCATTTTTTGTTTTGTGCTCGATTGATTGTGCCGCTCACAAATTGCATAATCGAAAGATTTGTCGATGTATTATTTTTTATATTACAGCGACAGCGACTTCAGAGGAGGACTTGATAATATGGAACTTTCTTCCAGAAGACAATGACAAGAAAAAGAAGTCGAAATGCAGAAGGTTCTCAGCCATCCCCGTGTATTTAGATAAAACAACTAAAGGTTATTCGCTAAGATAAATAAGTTAAATATGTTATAATTGTAGATAGAATTTAATAGTGCATGTGATTTGTATTATTGTTTTTTGTTGGAAATAAAATTTTTAGCGAAATATAGTATAATTTCAAGGTTGAGTTTAAAAATATAATAATAATCAATTATTTACTTCAAACATGTTCACCTTACACAAACCCAATCACATGGTTTTATTTTAAATGTGAAAAGTTGCCAAACGAGCAGATGGTTCACCTGATGATAAGTGAATAACGCCGCCCATGGACATCTGCTACACCCGAGGGTTCCAGATGCGTTGTCAACCTTGTGAAAATCGGGCTCCGGCCACCTCACTCACCAGACAAAACGCGAAAGTATTATACTTACTCTTTACGCCGGTCTTCTGTGAGGTCGTGGTATTTACCCGGATGAGCCTGCCCATTCGTGCGACAACGGAGGCTGCTGCGTGGCCTACCACCGTTGATTAATGTTTATACAAACTGGAGTTCACACACTGAAATATGCCACTCAGTACTTAAACCAATCGTTATATAGATCATGTATTGGGTTTCATGTCTATTTATTTAGAATATTCTATTTAGAAACAAATCCAGCACCACCAGAATTACGAGTGACACCACACACTGCGCCACAACTATTTTTCGACTCATCCAGTCGGCAAGTTAATTGACATATTATTCTGTGTTACCCCGCACCTGATTACGAATACAAAACAGCACTAAATATGATAGTTAACATATTAAATCTCTTATTAGTTTTCTTGTAGACACATAGCAATGATTGAAAAATACAAGAATGTACACAATACTTGTACAAGTGCCATCTAATCCCGAATAGAGTTTCAAGCAGCAAACCATTGAAAACGGAATAAAATAGAAATAGCAAACCTGTAGATACCTACAAAACTCGCAGCATAAATATTTATGACATTGTTACACTTGATTCGAGACTTCTTGTTGTGAATTCGATGCCATAGAAAATATCGTAGCAACTGATAATATAGCCTCCGTCTTCACTGAAACTGGTCGCCACCCAAATTATCTTAATAGTTCCATCGGCGCGCTTGAAATTCTAAATTCAAACGAGCGAATAGAAAATTCCCCGTGTATGAATTTAATAAAAGGTCATGAGCAAAGTCAGATCGGTATTCATACACATTCACAGATCACAATTAACGGGACAGCAACAAAGGTACTATTAAATGTCTCCTGCTTTTTTTTGTAAAACGAGATGTTTCTTATAACATGCAGGAAACTTGTAATAACGACGCATTTTGAATTTTTTTTAATCTGTGGATGTAAGATTTGCTTATTGAAATTAGGAAGTGATATCATTTCTCTGTACATGTCAGAACACTTAGAAGTCTATAAATTTCATACTAGTATTTGCGAAAGCATTATTTTAGCATTATGTACCGATGAATCTATTGCATTTGAGCCCACTTTGTCATTCAATTTCAGCGATGACACTACTTTCACTCCCAGTAAAAATACTTCATATTAAGGCTTATTTACAGAACTTGGAATGTCTTGTTAATAGTTCTCGGTAAATTTGATGATTTTAAGCAATCCTTTTAAAATTCGGCATCCGCGCATTCCCACTGCGCTTATATTAATCGTATGACATGCATGCACCTTGACGCGCCCAAGTCGGAGCTACGCGACCGGTAAAAACTTACAAAAACCGTTCATATCTATCTCTATCTAGCCATTTGGTCGCGTTATGTTTGCTATGGCAAAAACGGCGTCCCCGCCATCCATATTTCAATTATTTATTCAAACTAATATTCGTTCTGCGCATACGTTTCGACGTCCGCCGGCTAACGAATGTGCCCTTGTAAAAAACAATCACGCGGGAATTGTCACGGTGTTCATTAAAGTGGGGAAACTTTCGAGCGACGGACGGCGGGGCCGCCGTAAAAACCGAACATAAAATGGAACCGCATCGGCGCAACGGGCACGAAATACTTCAGCCAACTCCGGCCTCCGACCACACGCAAACGCCTCGTCGGGCGTTCCCAACGCTGGTAGTTGGCAAGATGTTTTATTTATCGGAAATTTCTGAACTTATTTATTGATTTCTGCAATGGATAAAATGTCGCTGGCAATTTAAGTGTTCGCTGGAAAGCTAGAAAAAGTCACGGTACCCTTTCTTGGTGTGATCCTGCCTGCTACCTAGCGTGGAACACATTTTTTATAAATTATGAGCTTATACTTTTCGGTGACGTATTACATATTTATATATATAGAAATATATACTTATATTTATAGAAATACTAGCTGACGCAACCATTGTCTTGCCGTATAAATTATTTCTAAGGAATTTGTAGGATAGAAAGAAATATTTGGGGTGGACCACCCTTAACATTACGGGGGATGAAAAATAGATGTCCGATTCTCCACACTGGCCGATATGCATACAAAATTTCACGAAAATCGGTCGAGCCGTTTCGGAGGACTTCAATTACAAACACCGTGACACGAGAATTTTATATATTACATTATTCGGAAACATTACATTAAAGTAAAGTAGTCCCATTGCTGGGGAATGGTCTCCTGAGTACAGAGGAAATGGATAATTATTGAAGATAAGTGAAGTCTGCCAATGCGCAATGGATTCTCGTAGCCTATGGCCCTAATAGCTTCTGTATAGAATTGGTTCGTGATAGTACAATTTCATTGGAATAATACCATTAGCGTAATTTAGTAGATGGTGTCAATTATATCTGTAAAATCAGCCCTTTAACTTAATTCCTGAAGACCCAGATACCAAATGACTAAAAACGCCTTAAAGTGTTGCAAGTTGAATGACTTGACATTTTCTTTATAATCTAATACTTTGTCAGTTACCACCAGCCTTATTCTCAGTCCTATAGGAGTTAAGGAACTTTAAGAAGAGATTATAACCAATTAAATGTACTTGAAAGAAGTTTATTTTTTAATAAATTATTAACAATATAAATTTACTTATCTAAAGAAATTTGTATGATTCCAATAGCATTTAAGTTATCTAAAGACTGGTAAAATGTTTCTATGCGAAATAATTTCAAGGTATAGCCAATTTTCTCTGTGACTCCGCTTACATGTACAGAACAACAGGAATTCGTTCCGCTGTGGCTAGTTTTACTACATCACAGTGAAGTAAGTCACCACTGTCACCGCTCGAAAACTTGTCTTGCAGAAGTTCTCTTAATTGACATTCGCGGTCAGTTATTAATTTTCACAGATCCCTTCTGCTCTCAGAAAAAAAGATTTACTCGCGATACGAGAATCACGCTGTATTATTGCGAGAGTAATCATTAAAATATTTTTGTATGACAGACATAAACTAAATACTAGAAATAAGGACAAACTAACTACGCCATTGTTTCGTCTACAAAAAGTAAACAGGTCGTTCATGGGGCAAAGTGTGCGCATGTATAATAAAATCCCACAGTCGATATTAAGTCTGCCACTTGATGAATTTACACGAAAAATTAAAAGTAAACTTGTGGCTAAAGCATATTATTATACTATTGCCGAATATCTTGACGACGCCAATGTGTGGGGTTAATACTGTTGATACTCACGTAGGCTAAACAAGACTATTGTACCTGTGCTATTGTAAACTGACTTTTTTAAAAAGAGCAACAGTTGAATCTCTTGCCGGTTTCTTCTCAACAGAAACTGCTTTCCGAACCGGTGGTAACTTACGAACGTGTTAATTTCTTTGTAAAATTTCAAACGTTTCATAAGAACGCGCAAGCGTCTATGTGAATAAAGATATTTTATTATTATTATTATGGGGGGATATTCATTTGTTTTCTCGTCTGGTTGGGTTTATAAATAATAAATAAAAATAAAGACATAGATATATATTGCATATATAAAATAAATATTATGGATAAAAATAAACATATATATATATATATATATATATATATATATATATATATATATATATAAATATATATTTTATATAATACATATATAAATAGGACCCAACCAGACGGAAGCCCTCGGCAGGGGAGACCAAACGGCCGAGGGTTAGGGCGAAAGGGAGAGAAACCGGCGGACGATGCGGGCGGTATCGAGGAGCACCGCCTTCTGCATTTGAGCCTGGAGCGATCCGTCCCGGAGTCCCAGTCGCCTCAGATGTTTAGAGAGGCTGACTGGGATCAACCCATTCGCAGACACGACTATCGGGATAATTTCGGTCGGCACACCACCCCACATGTCGGTCACCTCGTGAGCCAGGTCCAGATACTTCGTCTTCTTATCTGTTTCGGCTTTCACGAGGTTCTCGTCATATGGAATGGTCATTGGAATGTCGACCAAAAATACCCGCGACTGTGCCCGGTCCATCAACACGATATCAGGTTTGTTCGCGACAATTGTCCTGTCTGTGATGATGGACCGGTCCCAATAGAGCCTGGCGCGGTCATTTTCGAGCACGGCCTCCGGAGAGTACTTATAATACGGCAGTTTCCGTTCCACGAGGCCGTATTTCAGAGCGAGCTCCTGGTGTAGGATTCTGGCTACTAGGTTGTGTCTATGCAGATACTCAGAGTTAGAAAGCATGGAACAACCGGAGATAACATGCCGAAGCGACTCCCCGGGATGGCGACAAGCTCGACAGATGTCGACGGTGCCATCCTTTAGGATGTATCTCCTATAGTTGTTCGTCTTAATAACCTGATCCTGTATCGCACAGACAAAACCTTCGGTTTCCCCAAAGAGGTCACCGAAACGTAGCCAGTTCAGGGAGGCAACAGTATCTACGAAAGGCTCGTGTAGAGCCTTGTAGAACCTCCCGTGGAGCTCTTTCTCCTTCCATACAGCCTCTCGGTCGGAAACGCTCAGTACTCCCGGGTCCTGCCATTGCTCGTTGGCTAAGGATAGAGGGGTAAGTCCTTTATCACAACTAATGACGTCCGTGTAGATTGACTCATCCGATCTCGCCAGAAAGTAGTTACGGAGGCTGCACACCTCGCGATTGTGCATGGTGAGGGCGCTTAAAAAGC